ACAAACAGACCACATAGCAATAAGCTATTGTTGGCGTGGGTCGGTAGGAGATTGTCGCTCCTTCTGGAACACATGTGTTGATACCGATCACGCACTGGTCCGGGCTCGTGTGTGCTTACGGCTCAACGGACGTAGGAAACAGCTGGCAGTAAAGCCATTACGCCCCCAGCTCGATCAGGAAATTAAATCACTATTTGAGGAAGAACTAGCTAAATATGTATCTGAGTTCGACAGCTGTGCTCACCCTGAAGAAGCCTGGAGGAATATTCAGGAAGCCATAGATACAGCTGTAAAAGCTGTGAATAAGGTAAATCCAAAGGTGAGTAAAAACCATTGGATTTCGACTGCCTCATCCGAACTGATAGATGCTAGAAGACTTATTCCGGCGAGCTCCGAATTCAATGAGGAGCGAAAGCTGCACAAAAGGAAACTTACGAAAAGTCTCCGAAAGGACCGGGAACAGTGGTGGGTGACAAAGGCGAAAGAGATGGAAAAAGCATCGGCGATAGGCAACACTAGGCAACTCTTTAGACTCATCAGGGAAACGGGTGGGAGAAGGCAAATCATAAGTGAGACTATTTCTGAGAAAAATGGCTCCTTAATTAGCTCTCAGGATAGACGCCTTGAACGCTGGAAAGAACACTTTGAGGGACAATTTAAGTTGCCTACAGCCACACTGAACCTCCCCGACATCCAGCACACACCCGAATGGGATATAGACACTGGTCCGCCGTCTGTAAGTGAGGTCACAAAAACTATCTGTAATTTGAAACGAGGCAAAGAGGCAGGACCCGACGGAATTATTCCGGAGGTGTTTAAATATGGGGGTGACATACTAGTTTGTAGATTAATTGAGGTACTAGGCAAAGTGTGGGAATCAGAGACAGTGCCATCAGACTGGGGTAAGTCACCTATTATACCGATATTCAAGAAGGGAAACAAGTCCTCGTGTGATAATCATAGGAAGATCAGCCTAACGAACATAGTCTCTAAAATCCTAGGCTCAGTAATCATGCATAGACTAAGCAGAACTCGGGAGGAACAGGCAAGGGAAAATCAAGCAGGCTTTAGACCAGGTAGAGGGTGCATAGATCATATCTTCACTCTTCGACAGATTCTAGAAAATAGACACAATTTTCGGCGTCCAACAATTGTCATATTTCTTGACTTGAAGGCGGCCTTCGACTCCGTAGATCGAAAGGTACTATGGCAATGTCTGACTGTGAAGGGAGTGCCAAGAAAGTACATTGCACTAATCAAGGCAATGTATTCAAACTCACGTAGTCGTGTAAGGGCTTATGGGGAATTGTCATCTGAATTGGTAACAACCAGTGGTGTCCGACAGGGATGTCCACTTTCCCCATTTCTGTTCAACTTCATCATAGATATGCTGATGGAAGTATCCTTAACTGAACGTAATGACTTAGGAATCGCCTTGTTACCAGGGAATGGTCTTATGGACTTAGAATATGCAGATGACATAGTCCTGTTAGGGGAGGATGCTGTCAAAATTCAGAGTCTTCTGAACACCTTGAGCAGCAATCTTCGTATGTTTGGCATGCGATTCGCCCCTGCAAAACGTAAGATGCTGCTACAGGACTGGACTACGTCAACGCCTAGCTTAGTGATAGGGAGTGAAGTGATAGAACATGTTGACCACTTCACCTATTTGAGAAGTTGTATTAGCACCAACGGACTGATTGGCGATGAAATCTCATCAAGGATCCAAAAGCTCGAGCTGCTTTCGCTGACTTACACCATCTCTGGTGTAGGCGTGACATCTGGTTATCAACCTAGGGACGTGTGTACTGCTCAGCAGTTCGCTCCATCCTTCTCTATGGCTCTGAAACATGGCCAATACGCGTTGAAGACATGAAAAGGTTGACTGCTTTCGATCATAGATGTCTACGATCTCTTTCTCACGTCTGTCTGGATTCAACATAGAACTTGGCACCGAAGTGCACCAGTTCGAGTTGCCACGTTCCAAATAGCACACAGAGGTAGACAAGAAGATGAGTAAAGAGAATCAATACAGTTTGACAAGTATAAGAGTGAAACAGAATGGGTAATGGTAGAAAGGAATATGAAAGATTACAGAGACTGAATACATCTGCGCCATTGACAACGATTTTGAGCCATGTCACCTATTGTCTCCATCCATTGATCCATAGAGTCCCGAGGGCCCCAACCCGGAAGTCTGCATCTCCCCACCTGACTCAGTTTAACTGTCAAGGATTTCATGGATTGATGACATGTTTTTGTTTGGCCACCACTTACGCTTTTCCAACCTGCACCTATATCAGCTAGCAATGCCCGTCGGGGGAGGCGATGGTTAGGCATGCGAAGCACGTGACCTAGCCATCTCAATCTATGTAACTTTATAGCCTCGTCGATTGATTTTCCCTCTTTGCCCAACACTCTACGCCTAACGTCAACATTACTTACCTTGTTAAACCACCTAACGTGAGACAGAGATCGCAGACATCTATGATCGAAAGCAGTCAACCTTTTCATGTCTTCAACGCGTATTGGCCATGTTTCAGAGCCATAGAGAAGGATGGAGCGAACTGCTGAGCAGTACACACGTCCCTAGGTTGATAACCAGATGTCACGCCTACACCAGAGATGGTGTAAGTCAGCGAAAGCAGCTCGAGCTTTTCGGATCCGTGCTGAGATTTCATCGCCAATCAGTCCGTTGGTGCTAATACAACTTCCCAAATAGGTGAAGTGGTCAACATGTTCTATCACTTCACTCCCTATCACTAAGCTAGGAGTTGACATAGTCCAGTCCTGTAGCAGCATCTTACGTTTTGCAGGGGCGAATCGCATGCCAATCATACGAAGATTGCTGCTCAAGGTGTTCAGAAGATTCTGAATTTTGACAGCATCCTCCCCTAACAGGACTATGTCATCTGCATATTCTAAGTCCATAAGACCATTCCCTGGTAACAAGGCGATTCCTAAGTCATTACGTTCAGTTAAGGATACTTCCATCAGCATATCTATGATGAAGTTGAACAGAAATGGGGAAAGTGGACATCCCTGTCGGACACCACTGGTTGTTACCAGTTCAGATGACAATTCCCCATAAGCCCTTACACGACTACGTGAGTTTGAATACATTGCCTTGATTAGTGCAATGTACTTTCTTGGCACTCCCTTCACAGTCAGACATTGCCATAGTACCTTTCGATCTACGGAGTCGAAGGCCGCCTTCAAGCCAAGAAATATGACAATTGTTGGACGCCGTAAAATTGTGTCTATGTTCTAGAATCTGTCGAAGAGTGAAGATATGATCTATGCACCCTCTACCTGGTCTAAAGCCTGCTTGATTTTCCCTTGCCTGTTCCTCCCGAGTTCTGCTTAGTCTATGCATGATTACTGAGCCTAGGATTTTAGAGACTATGTTCGTTAGGCTGATCTTCCTATGATTATCACACGAGGACTTGTTTCCCTTCTTGAATATCGGTATAGCAAGTGACTAGGTATTAGTTGTTAGGGCATGCTGTTAAGGGTGTTGAGATTTGCGTGAATCTACTACCTATATATATAGATATATATATCCATCCATCAAAGTTGTTTGTTTATTCGTCCATTGTTTTCATACAAAAGGCGATGCATGGGGCATATTGTTAATCATAATTGTTTCGATGAAAACATTCGGAAACTTATTGTTGTTGCTGCTACTCTTCATTTGACGAATTGCAGAGTTATAATATGTTCATACAATCAGTTTTGCTTTATTTATTTCTGTGTATTGCTCGTAGATCATATAAACTCCATGGATACTGATATATACATTCATACTTATATATACATATATTTCCGTGCATATGTTATTAGCTGTTGTATTACGGTGTTGATAAAGCGTTATTCTGTTCTACATTCTCCTGCTTTTATTTTTCTTCTTCATATACTTATCCCTCTCTTAACAGTCCTCCGTAAATCACGTTTTTGCGTGCAACTTTTCTGATTTAATAGGAAGACAAAAATCAGAATATGACCATCTGTTTTATATCCACACGCGTGCAATGCAATGCATTAACATTTTTATGGTTATTGTATGATCAGAACTAGTGTTCTATTAATTCCATTCTTAATGTTTTATATCTTTTGAATGATTATTATGTACAGAGTCCAAAGTATGGAGAATGTCTTCATTTTCCTTTCTTTTTGTTTTTGGTCTACAGTTTCATATATTTTTTCAGTTTGCTTTATTTCTGTAGATATTATTTAATATTCTCTAGTAGCAGCCTGTTTCTTTTATCTCTTTGTTGGCACAAAACAGATGTTGATTATCAAAAAGTGGTAACAGTCTCCCTGTATGTATGTGTGTGTGTGTTTGTGTGTACTACTGTCGTTCCTCTCACGCTACCAAAAATAGCTGCTACTACTTACACAGAACATACATCTTGCGAAATACACATATCCCACTAGATTGAAGTACAGACCATTATGTAAGCATTTGTTACTACTATCGTGACAACACTTCTAACAAAAAAGCCAATGGTTTGGAAAGTTATAAGTTTTTCTCACGCTCTTGTGTCATTCTAGACGTTTCAAGAGTATTTGTGTAATATATATATATATATATATATATATATATATATTTGTTGTGAATAACGCAGATGTATTATAAAACGGTATGCTGATGGGAAACGGGGTGTACACGTGTATGTCGGGTTGACAATATATACTAGTCTTTTTAAGTATTATTAGGGAAAGTATTTCCGAATTCCTGTTTTTAATGGCTTATCAACGTTTGTTGTTATACTGTCAACCCCCTAAAGCGTATCATGATTTTAAATACCTGTCTGTGAGTATCAGCTCCAGTCATTGTAATGCATGCATTTAAACGAATTAATAATAACCTAACCACCGATTGAGTTGTTTTATTGGTGAGAAATACAGTTGAGTATTGTGTATTAAAATGTATACAAGTGTAATGTACAAATATTTGTACAGCAATTACTATTATTTTTTCCTACTCGTATTATAAGGTTGCCCAGTACATTGGAGAAATATGTCGTTACCTTTTGAGTCAACCAGCACGACCTACGGATAAACAGCATCACGTATGGCTTGCGTTTGGTAATGGTTTACGACAAAAACTATGGCCAGAATTTCAAGAACGTTTTAATGTGAAACAAATTGGTGAATTTTACGGGGCTACTGAGTCAAATGCTAATATTGCTAATATGGATAATAAAGTAAGTCGTATATATATATATATATATATATATAATATTATATGCGTAGGTGATTCAATAGCAGGATGTCTGATAATTACACATATGGCTGGCGTTCGACTCCCGGTCGACGTACTCTTCAACCTCGATTAACTAGTAGAAGTCCTGTAAAAAGTAGAAGGGCGTGAGGCTAGCAACCCCATCCCGTAAACACCTTACTACCCCTACTGAAATTTCAAAGTTACTTTCGGAATGCCAAGGAGTGAATATATATATATATATATATATATATATATATATATATATGCGTTATAATCTGTTCTCAATCAGCTTTTTTTCCGTTAGTAGTCGTGCTTTTGCTTACGTCAGTTATGATTTAGATTTACATATCAAGCGAAATAATAAATTACTTAATCTAAAAACAATAAGTGATGAGCATCCTGCAGAAATAGCTACCATTAAAAAAAAAACAATTAGAAATGACTAACGCTCGCAAACAAGAACATTGTCCGTAACAATGGGTGATTCGGAAGATGCACAAAGTATAAGTTAAAGTAAGGGGTTTAGGAGGAAGAAATAAGACGAAGATAAAACGATCGAACGAATATGGGTTACATACGAAGTTACTGTAGGAGTTAAAGAAAAGTTTGAGGCTACGGTAGTAGAAGGGGTTGCATAAGCCACTTCTGAAAAACCCAGTCCAGGTTTGTGTTTGTGTGTAACAAGAAGTTCGGATGTAGACAAAAGATTTATCCGGAAACCCTTCGAAAGATCTTACGGTGTATATCACTCTGAAAGACTTTTGCATTGATGCGAAATGATTTGTAAGGACGAGGAGCTCAAGAACTGAAGTTTTTGTTCGTCTAATTTCTCCTTTCGATAACCATATTGAGAGAGTGTTCTTGTTCACGTGTAGACAGTATCCTGCTGACGGGGTCTATATACTTACCTCCCGGCCGATAACTGCTACCTTGTCGTGGTGGTCGGGCTTGAATACCGTAATGACTCAACATGCTAAACTGACTGGGACTCATGTCCCTGCAGGTCCTACCATGTCAGGAAGGTTGTTTGGATAGCGATTAAACTAAAAGCAGTTACCATGGGGTACATGGGATCCAGAATCCAATCCGATCAAATGGCATATGAACCCATATGGGTCACCGGCAACCATGGGAATGCAGCTCCTGGCGCTGCTTCGCTGCCTTGCGGATTAGACTCCAAGTCAAAGGCTCGGGGGGTGGTCCCTTAATAAAATCACTTGCCTCGGTCTGGGCGCCCGGGCAGTATCTCAGCCCTGACACAATGGCGCAGATGTATTCAGTCTCTGTAATCTTTCATATTCCTTTCTACCATTACCCATTCTGTTTCACTCTTATACTTGTCAAACTGTATTGATTCTCTTTACTCATCTTCTTGTCTACCTCTGTGTGCTATTTGGAACGTGGCAACTCGAACTGCTGCACTTCGGTGCCAAGTTCTATGTTGAATCCAAACAGAGATAGACCTCACACAATGAATCAAATGAAGCAACAAACAATCAATGAAACTTATCGCGTGCTATTACACAATGATTCTAAGTTATATTCATGCCTCCAGTAACTTGTGTCCTTCCTACCTTACTTTTATTTTTATACATAGTTTCCTGTATTTTACCTTTGCTTAATTCTTAACCTTCGACAAACTTTCGCCTTTGTCTAGATTTCCAGCCTATCTGCGTCGTTTCGAGATGTTAGTGAGTAATCCTCAAAATGGTTGTTCCCAATGTGACATCTAACACAGATATCCTGAAACCGCGTGCTGCGTTCAAGCTGGCCACCTACAATGTTTGGACGCTGATGCAAATCGGACAACAGTCAGGGTTGGTAAGAACTTTGGAAAGCCTCGCTATCGATGTCTGCTGCATTTCGGAGACCCGCATTCAAGATCCCAATGAAGTGCTTCGGCTATCCTCTCCATCTGGAAGTTCTAGCAGTATATACCACCTGCGCTTATCCGGGGACCCTGTGGCGTCGGCATCCGGCGTAGCTGGTGTCGGTGTCGCACTGAGCGCTAGAGCCGAAGCTGCACTGCTCGACTGGATTCCCATTAACAGTCGTTTATGTGCTGTGAGGCTGGAAGGTTATACGAAAGTAAGAGTAGTAGGCCAGATAGGCGGTGTCTATTTGTTGTCTCTGCCTATGCACCGACGGATTGCAGCCCGGATGCAATGAAGGATGAGTTTTACTACCAACTGAGCGATCTCTTGAAACAGGCGGGTCGGAGGGATATCGTAGTGCTGGCTGGGGACTTGAATGCACAGGTGGGGCGTCTAAGCTCAGAGGAGAATCGTCTAGGTGGTCAGTGGGGACTACATGGTCGCAGGTCAGATAATGGGGACCGTCTTCTGCAGCTTTGCGCGGATCACAACCTATTTCTAGCCAGCACCAACTTCCGGCACAGCCATCGCCGTAGCGCTACCTGGCGTCCTCCCTCTGCGAAGCAAGCTTGGACTCAGATTGATCATATTGCGGTCAGTTTCCGGTGGCGAGGATGCATACAAGACTGTCGCTCCTTCTGGAGCACATGCCTGGACTCCGATCATGCGTTAGTGTGTGCCAAGTTCGTCTTGCGATTTGGTGGGGTTCGTAAAAGCCGTCGTCTAAGCGTTGATGTGAGCAAACTAGTAGCACCTGCTACTTCTTTGAAATATCAGAATGAGTTAAAAACAATGCTTGCCAGCAACCCCCCAAGTAGTATAGATGAACATTGGCTTCATGTGCAAGGTGCCATGCAAAAGGCGAGTGTAGCCGCTTGCGGCTTGAAAGAATGCTCCGCTAACAACCACTGGGTTTCTGCGAGTTCCTTGCAACTCATGGATGAACGCCGGTCCATTCCGGCTGGCAGCGAATACAACAATCAGCGAAAGGCGCTCACGCGCAAGATTAGACAGTGTTTACGTAAGGACCGCGAAGCCTGGTGGTCAGAACGTGCGTGTGAGATGGAGTCAGCTGCTGCATCTGGCAACAGTCGGAAGCTGTTCCAACTCATACGAGCCACCGGCAGCAAGAAACAAGGTGTCAGCGAGACGGTCTGTGAGGCAGATGGCACTCCAATTACCAGCCTGAAAAGACGCCTGGAACGCTGGGCAGAGCACTTCGGGAAGCAGTTCAGCTGGCCACCAGCTTCAGTGTCTACTATCATTAGCCCGAGTGCTCCTTGGTCGGTTAGTACCGACCCACCCACCGAAGCGGAGGTCCGTAAGGAACTCCAAGTTTTGAAACGCCATAAGGCGCCCGGCCCAGACAAATTACCCCCGGCTCTTTTTAAAGATGGTGGCGAGACTCTCACAATGGCTCTAACTGGGTTGTTCAGGAAGGTGTGGGAGACAGAGAGTGTACCATCAATGTGGAACGAAGCCATTATCGTCCCCATCTTTAAAAAGGGTCGACGTAATTCGTGTGACAATCATAGGGGTATCAGTCTGTTACCAGTCGCGTCTAAAATATTGGCTGCTGTCTTGCTTCGCAGACTGTGCAAAATACGTGAAGGATTGATTCGCGAAGAGCAGGCTGGGTTTCGTTCAGGTCGTGGATGCATTGATCATGTGTTCACCCTTCGTCAGTTGTTGGAACACCGCCACACGTATTGCAGGCCAACGATCGTTGTGTTTCTTGATATTAGGGCTGCCTTCGATTCGTTGGACAGAACTGTGCTCTGGAACTGTCTGTTAGAGAGAGGTGTACCTGAGAAATTTGTTAACATCCTGAAAGCCCTATACAGAAACACCTCAGGTAGAGTGAGGGCATACAACCAACTATCACCACTGTTCCCAACCAACAGTGGGGTTAGACAGGGTTGCCCAATCTCTCCATTTCTCTTTAACTTTGCCATCGATGACATTCTGGAGTCAGCTCTGAAGGATGTGCGTGAAGGTGGTGTAGATCTGCTACCTGGAGATAGACTTTTCGACCTCGAGTATGCAGACGATATCGTCTTACTGTGCGATAGCATGCAGGCTGCCCAAATCGCACTTAATCAGTTGGCGATCAGTGTCTGTAAGTATGGTATGTGCTTTGCGCCGTCTAAGTGCAAAGTACTGTTACAAGATTGGCAGGAGCCTGTACCTGCACTCACTCTTGCGGGTGAACCGCTTGAAGTTGTTGATAAGTTTGTGTACCTGGGTAGTTGTGTGAGTGCTGGCGGAGGGGTGACGGATGAGATTTCCAACCGTATAATGAAGGCTAGGGTGGCATACATCAACTTGAGCCACCTATGGCGCCGTCGCGACGTTAGCCTGGCTGTCAAAGGTCGGGTATACAATGCTTCGGTGTGGGCTGTCCTGCTCTACGCCTGTGAAACCTGGCCTCTCCGAGCTGAGGATGTGCGGCGACTCTGCGTGTTCGATCACCGCTGTCTCCGCAGGATTGCTTGCGTTCGATGGCATCATCGCGTGAGTAATTCTGAGGTTCGGCGGCGTGTGTTTGAACACAGTGGAGATCACCATTCATTGAATGTCGTCATCTGGAAACACCGGCTCCGGTGGCTTGGACATGTGCTCCGAATGTCACCCCAGAGGCTTCCGTACAGGTCTCTGTTCGCTAGCCCTGGGACGGGATGGAAAAGGCGGAGAGGTGGTCAGTCCATGACGTGGCGTCGTGGGATGAAGGATTTTTGTGCTAGATTAGCATCGGTTGGTGTGTCACGACTCCCTGGTTGGGGTCCGAGAGATAGCTCAAATCGATGGCTCGAAACGTTATCGGATATGGCCAAGAATCGTAATCAATGGCGAATGTGTTGCAATTTCCTTCTTTCTTCCCTTCCCGATGATAGCTAACGAACACTGTTTGAACTTGTTAAGCATGACTGTTTTCCTTCCAGATGAAGTTCTTTATCCGTTCTCTACTTATATATATTTCTTTCTCTTCCTTTTTGTTTTTTTGATCTATGTTGTTTTATTATTATTGTTTGGTGCATCCTTCTTGGTGCCATATTGTACCAAGTTTTTATGCGTTTAAATAAATGAATAAATAAATATATACTTA